AGCGGATTACCACCGGGGACAAAAGCGCAGCGATGAGCCCCAAAGCACCGCTGCACACTAATCTGGCCCCAATTGAAAAGAGGTCAGCAGTGCACTGAGCCAGGTTCATGAACAAAAGAAAGTTGCATAACACCGCATGATCTGGGCTCTCTTTACAAGGCTACAGGTCTGGCTGAAATACTCGGGCGTCAATGAAGGTCACCTATCAACTTAGAGTAGTGCCTAAAGATTACTTTGTGCGGCTATAAACAACCGTTAAATTTAATGATGAATTTTTGAAGGATTTTGAAAACGGAAAAAATGATAGTCATGCCGGCCCAGCATCATCAACATTGAAAAATGCCTCGGCATGAAGTGGTTAAGGCGCTTTCAGGGTAAGAGTGTTTAAAAAAACAAATCAACTAAGTACTCTGAAACACAGGGGTGGGCTGTGTTTATCAGTGCCTACATGTACAGTATGTTTCATTAAAGCACCTCACCCACAGATTCTGTATCTTGATTGGCCAAAAGTGTGTCGTATGATGCTTTCCAGTTTTACTGTATGGAGTTTTTGTACCACCTCTCCAAAAAGACTTTACACATGTAGCCTCGATCTGAAAAAGAACTATACCCATAGCATCTAAAGAACTATATCTGTAGCAAGATGCTCGTACCCAGGTGTGTATTTGGGCTACCTTTATCTGTCACTCTTGAATCTGTTAACCAGGCTATGTACTAGCTACAAATTGAATAGGTTAAGAGAATGAAGATGCAAATAGTCAGGTCTGATATGTCACATACTGTATGTTGTCGGTACACACATTCTAACGTCACACACGATTTGCAAAATAGAACACCGACGTATTGCTCTGTGTTTTATTATTGATTTTTAGCTTAAATGGTGCAGAATCTGCCAGTGAGGTGTTATAAAACAAATATTGACTGCCTTATCTCTAGGTATAGTAAAACTATAGACTGCTTCAGTGATTCATGGAGCATTCTTTCACCGAGGAAAAATAAAATGCTTCATGGCTCACCTCAGGAGGCTAGTTTTACTATGTCACCCAAAGATTCAATATTTGTATAATATTTGTACTTTTTACTGGACGCTGTGAGGTCTTCCTTTTTCACTTTGATTTAAATCTGTGTCCGACAGTCAAGTTGATTTGGCATGTGTGTAATATGACTGACTTCATTGATCTGTGTATTTCTGCGTGTTAGCCAACAGAAAATGTGGTTGCTTGGCAGAGATTTCTTCCTACTGGACCTATAGCAATGTTACCGGTGAGTGATTATGTCATTATGAACCACCACCATGAAGTACATGTCTAGCATAGATAGTCTCTGGTTATATTAGAATGTGACGTTGGGATGTAAGATTAGTTACACATTTCTTGACTTACTTTGTTTACATTGCTTCCACTTAGCAAGTACATGTACATGTATGTTGCATTTAGCATGATGATATGAAAGCGTGTTAGGGACATGGTGAAAAATGTTTTCTCCTCTTTGAGCCAGCTCATATTTATATGCTGATAAGTTGTACATACAATTTATTCCTCATACTTACAACATACATGTATATTGTATGTACGACTAAAAAATTATTACTCCTTTGTACGAACTGTATGTCATACATGCAACTGTTCATACAGATGACATATTCATGTTATTGAGCTAAGATTAACAAGTCGTTGGTACAAAATACTGTACTGCAACATGTGAGTCATATGCACAAGATACCGGTCATAGTTATGAGTTTAAAATTCATAAATTGTACTTAAGTACATATAATACATACGTATGAGGTACAGGCTGTATGTACAGTGCAAGATATAACTCATACATGACATACATATACGATGCCACTTGTGTGGGTTACATGCAGCTGAGGAGGGAGAGAATTTATTTTCACACTGTCCCTAATGCAGCTTGAAAATGTGCCTAGAGAAAGCATTATGTGGATCATCATTGTTAAGGAGTCTAATGATGGATGTTGATGATCCCTAAGAAGACAGTTTGGTTGGTTACAGTACATGAAACCTACATGTACTGTAGATACATGTACTTGAAATATAGAGGGGTGTTGGGATTATACATGTAAATGTACATGTACATGTAAATGTGAAGCCCAGGGTTTTTCCCAAGGATTGGTGTGCACTTAATGAGTAAATGATCACAATCGCAATGATTCTCCCAAAAATTCTGTCTTTAATACTTCTAGGTACCCATTTTTCCTCTAACCATATTATTAATGATCTGTCCATTGACCATTTGAGACTGGTTTGTGTACAAACAATGTAGTGCATTGCCAGAGAAAACATAACAGTTTGACAGAAAGTTAAAATTTGAACAACTGTAGCCTGTTCTTTTTCACACATTTGAGTGTGAAAATAAGGAAATCCTTTTAAATTATTAGGATATACAAAGTAATGGATTGGAGCGGGATTTGAGCCTACGAACTCCGGAATATCATACCGGTACTCTACCAAATGAGCTATCTAGCCCTATGTTGATGGTTCTTCCCATTTGTCAGTATCCTTGTTAACCCCTTCTGCCGGGGATTCCGGATCTGGACACGTATGCTTTATATGCGTGGCCGGGGTCAAAGGGAACAGGGCCTTGTAACAAAAGACCGTACTTGGAACAAAAGACCAGGCTGCTGGGAACTACCGACATTTTTTCACTCTCAAAAGTGGTGATAATCCAGCCTTGTTTTGAAACAGTATACTACGGTTTGGGGCATTGAGAGCAAGGTGATTACCACCAGGGACAAAAGCGCTCCACCACCGCAGCGATGAGCCACACAGCACCGCTGCATACTAATCTGGCTCCTACTAAAAAGAGGTCAGCAGTGCACTGAGCCAGGTTCGTGAACAAAAGAAAGTTATATAACACCGCACAATCTGGGCTCTTTTTACAAGGCTGCAGGCCTGGCTGAAATACTCAGGCGTCAATAGATTTTCTCCGTCAGGCTAGAGGGGCCACCAGACAGTCCTTCACGTGTTTGTTAGTGTCCAGTAAAGGAAGATAGGAATTTTTAAAGAATTTTGAAAACAGAAAAAATGATAAATATCCTGGCCCAGCATCATCAACATTGATAACTGTCCCAGCAGGAAGTGGTTAAGGGCCGCTAGTCAGAAGCCATGAAACCTGAAACAACATATTACCAGGGATCATGCCCCAACTACATGCTGCAACCCGGGAAGTGGTGAAATGGGATTACTCAGGAGGATTTGGCTTTTGAAACAAATATCATTAAACAAACTGTAAAGGAAAACTGGCTAGGTGCTTGCATATTAACCACTACCTGCCGGGTGGATTTCTCTTGAGCGGGATGTGATGGCAGGACCTTCTCAGGTTTTCCGTTTTCAAAATTTGTCAAAAATTCATGTGTTCATTTACTGGACGTTTACACCCGCACGAACGACTCTCTGTGGCTACTCTTGGCTGTCAGACAACCTTCAATGACACCCAAGTATTCAGCCGAGGCCTGCAGCCCTGTAAAAGAGAGCCCGGAATTGTGGGGTGTTGCATAATTTCCTTTGTGCCAGTGAATGCCACTAGTGTCCTTTCATACGCAGCTGGATTAGTGAGCAGCAGTGCTGTGTCACTCATCAATGGTGCCCTGGAACACTTTTGTCTGCAGTGCTAATCCGCGGGCGTGCTATTCCCAAAACAGTGGTATACTGTTTCAAAACAGTGCCGGATTACCTTCGAAAAGTGGAAGGCGAAAAATGATGGCAATTCCCAGCAGCAGGTCCTTTGTTCCGAGTACAGTCTTTTGTTACACAGACCAGCTCTTTTGTCCAAAACCGGGCACCCCGGCTCTGTGTATAAACACATGCTGCCCAAAACCAGGCTCTCCAGCAGGAAGTGGTTAATCATATATTAAATCTACTTTAAAGATTGAAATCCATTTTACATTATTTAGTGCAATTGAAATTGAAACCTTATTTTCAAAATGTTCTTTTGTATTTGCACAGTATTGCATTATTTTTGTATTTCCTGTCTAATGTACCCGGATGTGGATATTAACAAGTCATGTCTTGTACAATATTCAAACTTACCTCTATAGCTGACCAATGAGTTGAGTTCTCTTGTATGGAGTACCACTCATGCTCAAGCCGAGAGTCTTTTAGTAATGAATGCAGAGCAGTTTGTGGATGAAGTAAACAATGCATTTGTAAGTTGAACAGATTTTTTTCTGTTTTTTTAACCTGTACAAAGATTCAGGTATAGGACGTAGATGTAGGTGTCCAAAAGACAGACTGCAGTTTGTCCTGTTTGTGAAATAGCATGTAGAAAACAGACATCTTTTGAATATGAGCATTTTCAAGACATCACATTATAGAATTTGCAGAATGTTCCCTATATTAAAACAATATTTTTGACAATGCCATACTGAGAAAGTACTTGTTGCCATTTATAAATGAGAGGGAAACTTGAAGTCATGATTTGGCGTTTTGCCAACATTATTTATTAAGCTGTGTATTATAACTCATAAGACTTTGTGAAGGAAAGTGTGAAACCTGTTCAGGTGGGACTTGAACTCCCCCCCTTCCTCCAATGTTGTAGTCAAGACCATGCACAAGACCAATCAAAACCAGTCACAAGACCAGACACAAGCAGCTGTGTGAACAGTGATAAAGAAATGCTTTTGTTGGAGTTGATCTGAATAGCTTGAATTCTGACTGGAGGTCTTGTGTTGGTCTTGTGAACACTGCTAGCCTCCTGCTTACTGGTGCATACATGTATATCTTAACCACTCATCATCCGCCAAACTTAATGGGGTCAGATGAATGTCTTAATCAGTAGAATATAATGTTGATACAAAAAGCTCTGTACCTTATAATACTTTACCACACACTGTGTGAAGTAAGTGCTCATTTTTTAGCCATATTGCCATTTTTAGCCATTCTTCAGTGAACATAAATGGAAAAGTTGTAGGATTTCAGGTATTAAATAATTGATGAAGATTTTCCAAATTTCTCTTTTTTATTTATCAAAGTCAATAAAGTCAACTTTGACCTTTGTTTGCAGTGGGATGACAGCCACAAAGACCAAATGGCCACTAGTGCAGGTGAATTTCTGAACAGTATGTTGTCATTTGTCCAACCTGATGGGTCAGCGGTCAGACAGCTACCACCTAGTGTGTCCAGTATCTCATCAGCAAGTAGAGCTATGTTCCCCCTGTCTCTTGGACATGCCTCACACTATGTCAAACCACGTGTTGCTTTGATTGGGTGAGTATTACTTCCATAATATATTGGACATGTACATTTGTAGATTGTTGAACTGTTAGGTCATTCATCAATCCCTCCACCTCCTTGACCTGAGGTCTGTTTAGTTTTAATGTGTTTAAGAGGATTCCCATTGATCCCTTCCACTTGTGTGAAAACTCATGAGCCTAGTAAGTTAGATGAAGCAGTATTTGCTGAATGTTTCGTGGAGCATACTGTGTATAGTCAATGTTACCGATGGGAATCCACTACTGGCATCACTCCATCCTCTTTCTACACTTCATTATTGAGTTACTGTACTCCGAGTGCATCTGCAGTGCAACCCAGGACCTTGCAGTAACCCAGTTCAGTATTCCAACAGTGCATACCCAAGTGAAGTGCATCTTAGGTCAGTTTGGAGCAGCAATACAAGTGTCTGAGGTCTGTCTTATCAGCCATATGCCAACTGGCACATGTGCTTTGTTCTCAAGTGACCGTACCTTTTTCAAATACTGAACTATCTTGTTGGCATCAATCTGCTGAACACAATTTATGTAAACCAGAACTTCCAAAAATATTTATGCAACACAGACTTTGCCATTGCAAAGTATTGTGAATCTGTTCTGATTTCCTTGAAGCTGTGAAAAATGTGATTGAACTGATATGAGTATAGAAACACAAAAAATAAGCATTCACTAATAACAGGTTGCCAGTCAGGTGTCATATGACATCACAGCTGAGTTTTGCTAAATGCCCGGCAATATTGTCTGTTTATTTGCAATTCCACAATAGATTGAGCCTAGTTAGGCCAGTTAGTCTACGTAATACAGGAATTCATTAATTTGATTGTAAAAGGCCAGATCAGCTAGGCTTGTCTGCTTTGTACTTCCCATGTAGGGTATGAAAAACATTGTGCAGTCTTGTAAATCTTGGAGTATCCTCAGTTGTTTCTTCCAGCTTTGCCATCATTTTCCCAGCAGTTTTAACACCTGGCATGTCCAGACAAAAGTTGTGAAACAAATGCTTGCAGTCTGCCCAGGGGAGCGAAGCCCAGTTAACTGAGCAAGTTACAGTAGTTAAAAGAATGCTTAACAGTCATCAGACGCCATTCAAACATAGTTTGTTTTATCATTGTTTGAATAGTGACGCAGCTCACAGAGTGCATCCCATGGCTGGCCAAGGTGTCAATCTTGGATTTGCTGATGTTGTATGTCTCAGAGACTCCCTAGTTTCAGCAGCTACTATGGGCAAAGACCTCGGTATGTGCAGTACACACTAACTTCAATATATCACCAACCTTTAAAGACTTTAAAATTCAATATAGAAACCAACACAGTGCTGCAGAAGAATCAGACATCTTTAAAACATTTCTTCTAAAAATAGATACATGTTTGTCTTGTATTGTGGTTTCCTAGTTGAACCACTGTGCAAGCCTTGTAGTGTGGGCGTACGCGTATCCTATTCAAATACAGTTTATTTTTCTCTGATCCTAGGTTGCTTGTCACATCTCCTTGAGTACGAGACCAAACGACAGCAAGGGGTTATCCCTGTTGTTGCAGTCATTGATGGCTTGAAACGCCTCTATTCAACAGACAATCCCATTCTGGTGTTGACACGGAGTCTGGGACTACAGGCAACAAATGCCATGACTCCATTGAAGCAACGGATCATAACCTTGGCTGCTGGAAGGTAGAATCATGTTAGAGATGCCATCAACCATTTCACTTACCAACAGATCTAGACTCCAGACATCTGTGTGGTCCAGATATCACAGATGCTAATTGTGAAAGCTTGTGGCACACAGTGCTATTCTGCATATGAAACTGAAGAACAAAGTGCACAACTGCCAGCTGTGACAGTACAAATCAAAGAAGTAGGTTTAGAAAGCATTATTTCTAGCAAACATTGTAATGAAGGCAATTAAGAAGGGCATTTGAATGGCAGTGTAGGACAGACGGCTATCCATACATGGAAGAGTCTAGGGAACGAATATGTCTGCTGCTTACTGATAGGCAAGATGGCTGTCCAAGCATCCTTTACATCCTCCACCTCTTAACCTTTCCTGCCAGGTGCTTTAAACAATGCAGTGCCTACACACGGGCGATTTGCAATATCTTCGGTTTTCAAAAATCTTCATAAATTCTTATTTTTTCCCCCTGAACCCTAAACCCCATGGAGTGACTGTCTGGTGCCTACTCTAAGTGACAGACAACATCTATTGACGCCAGAGTATTTCAGCCAGGCCTACTACCTTGTAAAAGGAGCCCAGATTGTGTGGTGTTACGTAAGTTTCTTTTGTTCCCGAACTGGCATAGTGCGCTGCTGGCGTCTTTTCAATATGGGCCAGATTAGCATGCAGTGGTATTTTCTCGCTCATCACTGGAGCATTGGAGTGCTTTTGTCCCCGGTGGTAATCTGCTTGCGATGAATGCCACAAACAGTAGTATAATCTTTCAAAACAATGACAGATTTCCTCCGTTATTGACAACTGAAAAAATTCCTAGCAGCTCTGTCTGTTTTTCTGAGTTCGGTCTTTTGTTACAAGGCCCACAGCTCTTTTGTCCAATTTCGGGTACCCCGGCTATACGTACAAACCCAAGGTACCTGAAATCAGGCTCCCTGGCAGGATATGGTTACTGATGTACCATTTAATGTTAAGGTGAAGCATGGAAGGAGATGGACATTAACCACTCCCTGCCGGGCGACCCGTTTTCGAGTACATAGGCTTTATATGCAGAGCTGGGAGCCTGGAACTGGGACAAAAGAGTTGAACCTGATAACAAAAGACCGTGCTCAGCACAAAAGACTGAGCTGCTGGTCATTACTGACATTTTTTTGCTCTCAATAGTGGAGATAATCCAGCCTTGTTTTGAACAGTACACCACGTTTTGAGGCATTTTGAGCGAGCAGATTACCACCAAAAGCTCTTCACCACCACAGCGATGAGCCACACAGCACCGCTGCACGCTAATCTGGCCCCTATTGAAAAGAGGTCAGCAGTAACACCGCACGATCTGGGCTCTTTTTCCAAGGCTGCAGGCCTGGCTGAAATATTCAGGAGGCAATGAATTTTACCTGCCAGCTTTAGAGTAGTGCCCAAAGAGTCCCTCATTTTGGTATAAACGGCCATTAAATGAAATGAATTTTTGAAACATTTTGAAAACGGAAGATCTTGAAAAGGACCCGCCATCTTGTTTTGCTCAAGAAAATCCACCCGACAGCAAGTAGTTAAAACAGTTTGAATATTGTTGAAAGAGGCAACTGCAAGAGGTATAGCTGAGATTCATGCAGTAAGTGGATTAAAATGTATTGAATTTGTTTAATATGGCTATCTGAGAGTCCACTGTTTAATGCAGTTCTTGTATTGAAAATGTTCAATTCTTAATGCTAACCCTAACCCACCCTGTATAGTTGGAGTCTGAATTACCGAGTCAGGTTGGACGGGGCAATACTTACAGTCTGAACAGAGCCCCGAGGATCAATTGTGTACCTGACATTTGGAAAGAAACAGCAAAGCCAGGCTCTTCCAAGCAAAAATCTTGCTAAACAAAAAGTGCTTTATATGAAGAAATTTTAAGGACAGCCGCCAATTTCACGGAACTACACAATGACACAGCGTCTCTAATATGCCACAATTTATGGCATAAATACCAAGCTTGCACAAAATTATGGCATAACTTTAACAAATCGTTTTGGGTGGCATATGTAGCATTTTAAACAAATCTGGAAAGAGCAGTTCTTTAATTATGCTAATCGTCTTCACAGTAAGGCTCATCACTATTTATGGTTAATACAAGGAAAACAGTGGGGAACGGTATAAAAAACTTGTTTGAGAGTGACACAACTTTAAAATTTGTATCCTGATTTCGATGAACAAACTTTTGGTAAATGACAAGGAAACTTAAACTCTTTGATGATTGCTGTAAATTTACAAATGAACAGCTATCATAAAAACTGTGATCAGCATCATTAAATATGCTTACAGTATAGAATATCACAAAGCGATGCAACTTTCCATGAAATCAACTGCAATCATATACCTTCACCTCAATATAAGTTCCATGATGTTTACATGAAAATAGCCACAGAGAGGTCTTACAAGCAAATGGACATGGCTAGTACATTGGATAGGTCATCGATTTGTGGGGTCTTATGACGTACAATGTATGCTCCTCGTATCTCTGTTGCAAGTTGATTCCAACATGCACAGTTGAGATGAGAAGTTGATTCCATCATGCACAGTTGAGATGAGAGGAAGTTGATTCCATCATGCACAGTTGAGATGAGAGGAAGTTGATTCCATCATGCACAGTTGAGATGAGAGG